GCACGGCCGCTGACCTGACCGGCTGGGGTCGCACCCAGGGAGGGGCCAGTACTCTACCGACTGACCTACAGTACCAAAGGCTATCCATAGTGGCGGCACCCGATTGTAACGCCCGTTACGGCACAGTGCAAGAGGTGACCGCTCGTATGGTTTGCACCGAGCACAAAACAGCCAGTGTTTGCGGGGTATGTAGTAGTCATAAATAATCATGCTAAAATTTTATGCTTATTGATAAATAAAATGTTTAATTAAAAAATACTTATTGATATGTATAATATTAACAGGGTGACTCAGGCGGACCATTGGTTGTGGATGGTAAATTGGTGGGGATAGTGTCATGGACAATGGGTGATTGTAGGCCTGATACCACCGCTTATCCCAGTGGCTACGCCGATGTGGCTAATCAACTGACCTGGCTAAATGATAGAATTAAATAAAATAAAATAATATTTATCTATTTATTTAAATATTTTATGTAACATAATTAATGTTTCCATTAATGATAGACAAATACAGTTTATTACAAAACAAGATAGTTTATTAAATAAAAATGAACAAGCATAGTAAACCAGACGTTGAGTATAAGTTATATTGAATAATTTTTGAAATTCAGATTGGTGCTTCTATAATTTATATGCACAAAACAGGGTGACTTGGATGCACCACTTGTTGTTAGTGGCAAACTGGTAGGTATTGCCTCCCGGTTCAATAACAGTTGTGGGGCTGACATTACTAACTCGCCTAATGTTTATGTCAATGTGGTCAGTGTGCTCACGTGGTTGAGCCAAAGGATTCAATAATAATTAAATAAACATCTAGCCTACTTATATTATTTTAAATCATAGATTAAAAGTTCAATTCACTGTGGACATTCTGACATATTTTATTGTATTATGCCGTAAAGGGCATTTTGTATAGCTAATTAAATATTTATAACTTAATTACATAGATTTAATTGACATAAATTGTAAGATAGAAAACAAATATATTATTTTTTATGATGTAGTCTGTTAATAAAAACAGTATACTGTACATGGGTCAAATAAATCACAAATTGTTTTCATAACCCAAACAACTAATATATAAATACAAACATCTAACTTAAATGTTAATTATAAAGTTTACCAAATTGAAAGCCTTATTTCCTATTTTTAAATTTTATATCATTTTATGATTAATTTATCTAACGTTAAATTAGTGTAATTAAAAAGTGTAATATAAATTTTTAATTAGTTTATTAAGATGAACCAGGATGTATGGTGCACTAGGTCTCTTAGAGTACTGTATAAATATACATTTAATTAGTTCCATAAAAATCACATTTTTTTGAAAACAATCTGATTTTTGTAAAATAGTATAAATATTGACATTCTTAACACAATGTCACATAATATTGCAAAACAAAGCATTAACTCTAACAAAAAAAATTAATCAACAGATTTCACACTAAATTAAATGAAGTGTTCATTAGTGTTGTCAGTAGTACTGGTGCTGTGTCTGAGTGCTGTCCAAAGCGCCAAACTAGTGAAAAGATCAGCCGGTGTTGGGTTTACAGGGGGTCGTATCGTAGGGGGTAGGGATGCAACTGAAGGTCAGGCCCCATGGCAGGCCTCTCTACTGGTAAACGGGTGGTTCGGGTGGAGTCATAACTGCGGCGGCACTTTAACGGGCAAACGATCGGTTGTAACGGCAGCTCATTGTACGGAGGGGTATGTCATATGAAAGTATATACCGATATTCAGTACTAATAACCAAATCATACAAACAGTTACACCAAAGACACCTTAAAAATACAATACGGAGGACTCGATAGGACTGCATTGACATACGACAACCCCATTGTCCAGATAAATGAGCATGATCAGTGGAATAAGCCGAGTCAATTTGACTACGACTACGCGGTCATCAACTTAGAGCGAGACATCGAAGTGGGCGGTAATGTCGGGACACTAGAGTTGGCACAAACCGAGCCTAAGACGGGAGATAAGGCAGACCTGACCGGATGGGGCGCCACCTCATACGGCGGTGCACTACCGGTGCCCCTACAGTACGTACAGTTCGAGATCTTATCGCAGGCCGAGTGTAACACCCAATACGCGGGTCAGATAGAGGTCACCCCCAGAATGATATGCACCCGGAATCCCACGGCCAGTGTTTGCGGCGTAAGTAGTATTGGACTAAATATTTGTTGCTTTGTTGTTATAAATTATAAATTATCTAACCAGGGTGACTCGGGTGGACCATTAGTATCCGGTGGCAAACTGGTGGGTATTGTCTCCTGGGGACGCAGTGGCTGTCCGGCCGACACCCAGACATCCCCCAACGCCTACGCAAATGTGGCTAACCTTGTGGACTGGCTTCAGCAGAGAATTGTCTAAATTATTATTGTTTTCTGAATTAATTTATTAAAATTAAATAAACTATACATTTATTTGTTGTGATTGAATAATTAAAGTATTAATAAAACCTATGTTATTAACTTATATTATATTATATTTTATGATTTATTCAAGAAAAATTATTTATTATAAATATTACAATACATACAGTATTTAAAATATCAGTTAAAATAATAATATAATGTCCTTGATTTGATAGGCAACACAATAATTAATAAAATATAGTATGATAAGATTTTGTACTGTATTACTACATTATCATTTACAGTATTTATTATTATTGTCTTTATTGTATTTTATTATTATTTAAGTAAGATGATACATAATCACCGATATATACGGTATAATTGTGCATGGTCAATGGTGGTGTTGTGATCACTGAAATTTGTGATGTACACGATTTATATACTACTTACGATACCATTGGCACATATAGCTTATGGGCGCCAAAAAGTATCGTAAATCGTATACAAGTGGTGTATTGACTCAAATTAGCCTTTCAGGGTACTAGGATATGGTTGCACGTGATTTCCACCTTGAACTCTTAAGTGTCCCCGGTAAGTTGGTAGAAGCAACAAGGTTATATGTTCAGATTAATCTTGTGTGCTCAAATTGTCATATCCATTTACCGACATCTAGAATAATAATGATAATTATTTTTGTAATGTTAAAAAATTATACTGGTTACATTGCAAACGCAAACCATTAAACCATTGCTGAGATTGTACCCTGGTCCACAAAATGATCACATCTATGAAAGTGTCTATTATTACAGACATTAATATGTCATAATATGTTTGGGGCTTTGCATCAAAATCAATCATCACATATGTGGATGTTAACATGGTTGTCGACTTCATCATCGTAATACTTATGGTCATATTTGTGGTTTTATTTAGTTTGAATAGCATATAACCCAATATATAACCACAAATATGACCATAGTTGATTATTTAATTGAGTTGTCATTAATATTATTGCTATTGGATATTATGTAACTAAAATTTATATAAAATATAAATTCAAAACATCAATATTTACCTTTCATATTGTCACCATTCATACAGTAGGTTTCCTTGTTTAAATTACAAAAACGTTTTAATCATATAAAATTTTAAAATTAAAACTAAGTTTACATTAACTTATTTCTTAATTCTTAAAACTTAATTTTAACTTAGTTATATTAAATGAAAAGTATAACATATTCAATAAAGTTAAAAATAAAATTAATGTAAATAACGTAAAGCCTCAAAACAGAATGAAAATTCATGATACAGAATATTAAACATCCTGGTAACTAGATATTGATTTTAAAAATTTACAAAACATTAGATATAATTTAAAGATATATTTAATGTACACATTGATGCAAATTAATATTATCCTACTTATTATCATATTATTATCTTATATTACTTATAACATTTTCTATATCTGTAATTTAATAATATATTTTGGGCATCAATTTAATTGACAACATTTGAATTATTTATGTAAAACACTACTTGAATTTATAATATACTTATGCAGCATAAGTTATGCTACTACTGTATCTATTATTTAATAAATCTTAGTTATCCTATAATATTTTGAATTATAATGGGGTATATTAGTGTCTGATAAAATTTTGATAGATAATAGCCAAAAATTTTCAATTTATCGTACATTTCTACAAAAACCTCACAAAAATGCCCAGGATATTTAAATTATTAAAAGCTCCCAGTTAAAAACATTTACCGTAGATTTGACAAGTCTATAGTACAGTTTTATATTTATCCTATTCATGCAGTTTACTTCAAAATAACAAATTAAGTTTAAATAAAAATCCATTGTAATTAAATCATTAAATTGTTAAGTATTATAATTAAAATAGTAATTTAGCCACAATATTACTGATAATAAACAGGATATTAATAAAAACAAA